CTGTATAATAATTTCATTTTAAACGAAACAATTTTAATATCAAAGAAATAGTTTAAAGTTAAAGAATTTCTCAAGAAGCCCAACTATTTTAGTCAGTCCAAGCGTCTATGTAAAGTTTAAAGTTTAGTTATATACAAATTAAATCGCCGAACTCAGAAAATTTTTTTGGTTAAAAAAATTCGTTTCATCAAAGATTAAATTGACTTAACGAACAGATGAATTCGTTGAAAGACTGTAATCGAGAGAATTTTTATAAATAAACGTTTCTGATAACGAAGTATCGTCAGCAAGGCATCGTTACATCTTCTACATTAATTGTTTGACCACCCGAGGGTGTGTCCAAAAGGCGCGGATATATGTAGTGTCTATGAGTCTGTAATTTCACAAATTACTACTTTATCTCTTTTATTAATTCATTTAATAATTTTTTCTTTATCAATAAATTTTTTTTTTCTTTTTAATGGAATTAAAAACCACGTCGCTATTTATAAAAAGTCTATTTTTATCTACGATAAATCAAATTTTGAAATAAAAAAAATCTCCACTTTAAAAATTATATTCCAGCAATATTTATGTGATTAAAGAGTTTTATACATTTATACGTATTTTCAGCACGATCAGATGTAGTGTAAGAGCACAGTTACACAAACGCGGAAACTCGAGATAAATCCAGTTGCAGTAGAAAATTTTATTATGATACGCGAGCACAAAGCTCCCGTTGAAAATCGAAATATTTTATACACACAAAAGTTTATCGTAGTATCACTTTGAAAATAAATAAACTCAAGCAAGTTTCAGCGTAGAGCTGACACGATTTATCTTTTTTTTTTATAATAGATAAATATATGTTACATGGCGATTCTAACTTTGAATTTTATCGCTCAGTACAATTGCAATTGATGTATATCTCGCAGAAAGATTACAAAAAGTATTAAAATGTGAAAATTTTTCCGCTTACAAAATTTTATCTGAGCTTTTTTCAATAATAAATATTTAAAAAATTTTTAATTCATATTTCATATTCAAAAATACAAATAAAATTGAAATTATTTCTGGAATATTGTTCCGATAATTATCAAGTGTATCCTACGCAATGGTTAAATTAAGGACGAAGCCATGAATTAATTGATAATACTCTGCATGATTAATAACATCATATAAGTGATTTTCCGGGTGAATATCTATTTCATAATTAAATTATTTGTCGATTTTACTGAAGGCGAACGTAATTTATTATCGTTAATTTAAATGATCAATATAGAAGCATCCATTAATATGCATATATCAATCACTGCTGAAATTCTAGAGATACTTTCAATTTCAATTTAATAAAAAAAAAGTATAGTGATTATCCATAATTGTTTTTAATAATTCAATATTTGCTGGCGGGTAATCCTTCTTTTGTGTAAAGATTATTACTCACTACTATTGATGATCAGAACAATCCGAGTAATCTACTGGAGTATTTTTTTAATAAAAAAAAAGCTTTATTATTTTAACTATATACACAGTATAAAATTTTTTGTAAAATCTACACAATTTTATGTTAAATTCATTAACAAAGTAACACACTTAATGTTATTTTAACACAAAAAATTTTTAACAAAGATTGTATTCAACAAAAAACAAATACACAATATTTTTTACTATTTAAATATTCAAAAAATAACAAAACTGAAAATCAATATTAATATATTCAAATTTATAGAATATGCAAGAAAACATTCACCGGAATACATTAAAGTGATTTTAAGCAAATGAGCTTTTTAATGGCAATGGTGATGAGGGTTCACCTCCACGGTTAATTGTTAATTGATAAAAGTGTCGAGATTTAATGCTACTTATTTTGATTGCAGATCACAGCGAAGTTTATCTCCAACAAGATTTGCCAGGATAAACTGGAGAAGAGAATAAATAGCACCATGTCTGCGCACGTGAGTTAATTAGCACTATTTTCAAAGTATAAAATGTCACGCCCATGAAAAGTTATTCTCTACAAAGAATTACCAGCTTTATATACCGCCAGCCCTCTAATTTAATTAACAATAATTTTATTTTAACAACTGAACCGAGAGTATTTTAAATTTATACACACAGTGAACAACAAAATCTGTTTAATTAATTTTCTACATAACATTTTACTTGTCAGCCTTTTGTTCACATTTCAATAGAGCTACTTCATAAAAAAATAACATTCTGTCTGTTATCATAATAATTAATACTATATTATAAACATACGAGTAATAAACTCGTATTTTTTGTTAATTAAATGAAAACAAAATAAGTAATCGATAGGTCGAGCAAGAAAAATTCTCAATTAACTCTGTATTTATTTATTTAAATTATTCCATTAAATTGAAGTATTATATAGAATAGTCGATTTAATTTCCCTTATAATAGTTCAATTATCGCGTGATTCATCGATTTATTTTTAAACAGCTTAACAATAAATTGAATAAATTCTCTGAAGCTGAAAATTACAGGACAATAGCTCGAAAAAATTTTTGATAATTAAATTTTTAATTTTTGCATCTTTAGTGTTTAGTAGACAGCCCAGAAACACAGAATAGATAATATGCATATATTTTATGGAAATTTAACACCTGTTAGACTACCAGCTTCTACCTATTATCTCCAATACGCTATCGAGCACGTCGATCGATTTTCAACACTCTCAGACACTTGACCAAGTTCTTTGAATTCCAATTAAACAATACGTCGCCGATTTAATTATTGTTAAATGTACTTATCCACAACTTCCCTTATAGATAATTGTAATAATTATAGTAATTTTCTCGGTCAACAATGTTCCTCTAATTAATCTCCACTTGTGTAAGTCCTGGAAAAATAATTAACTATAATAACAAGTTGATGAAAGCTATCAATAAAAATTAATTAGACCCTTACTTTAGTCACTCAACATGTGGTTTGTTAATTAGCCACTCGGGAAATATTTATGAAAAGGGAATTGATAATTGACCGAGCACTAAAAAGCGTAAAAATTTGAAGGAAATTGAATATGGGGATGAATTTAATTACTAGAGAAATTTTATTAAAACTAAAAGCTAAAAGCGATGGTACAAGTAAACTTTGGCCATTTTCCGATAAGCCGATATAATTATATGTTTGTTGTTTGTATATAGAAAATTCAACCAGTGTTAGAAAGTATTTTTTATAGGCTTGACAATGAACTTGGATTGGGCTAATTACTAATTAACAAATGAAATTATTACCCCGTAAAGGGTGAAGATAAAAATTGGCGTCACGTCGTGTTTACTTCATCAACAAATTGGATGTACTGAGACTAAATGAAGGTGTGTTTACCAACATACTGTGTGACAAATGCGTATTTTTGTGTGTGAGTTTTTTCAGTCTGAACATTTATTTGATGACGCACTGATAAAAAAGTTGTCTTGATTTAAGAGAAAAATTTTTGAACCAAGAATATCATTTGAAGAGTTTAATTATCTTGAATCAAATGGGAAAATTCTTTTACTAAGGAGTTATTGTTTCAAGTGAATTCTACTTGATTTAAACATTTTTCTACTTGATTCAGATTATTTTTTTTATCAGTGCGGTAACAAAAATTTTTATTCATAAATCTAACCTGACAATTTGGAGGTTGAAAATATTCAATATAAATTTTTGAACTTTTTAAGTAAATATTGTTAAATTTTAAAAAGATCGACGACTTTTTTGTAAATAATTTAAAATTCAAATTTTAAAAAACAACTTTGAAAGTTTGTTTATAATAATAAATAGATAAGAATGACAAATAGGTAACTTGAGAATTAGAACTTTAGAGCCATAAATAAATGTCCATAAAGAGGTGATGTACTTGTTAGAATGAAAGGAAAGAATAGAAGACAAATTCACAGGATATCTCAACTACAAATGGGCGATGATATTTTATAACACGATCTTGACTCAACTCTGTAGTGTATATATATAAAACATTAGAGAAGAACCAGTCACGCGATTACGTACAAACTTAAATATATTTGACGTAAATATATTCCTTTTTAAATCTTTATACTGTTTAGATAAAAGCGTTTGGTCATTGATAACGGGATTTAAAAGTAAACATAAATTTTATTTATAAAAATTTTTTTTTGTTGTCAAGATTTTCAGATTATTGATGAATGGCACGCTGATAAAAAGGTGCAATGGGGTCAAAGAATTCTTGTTAGCTAAATATAAGTCTCGAGATGGCTATCAATGACAAGTATATTTCTGCTGAGAATTTCGGAAGATAAATGTATTTAATTAATGAACATTGATAAGACAGACGTCAGAGCCTAAATTGAGTAATAACAGTAAATTAATCTTGTTGAGGTAATAAAAATCGATCGATTAACTAACACATTAGGCCAAATTTTTTCTCAGTAAAGTGAGGATTTTTTTACAAGGGAAAAAAATCTTTTAAAAATTACAGAAAAATCTGGTGAATTCAGAGTTTTGCACCTGTCGAGACATATCGAATTTATATTATAAAGACTGTCTATCTTATATTGAAAAAAATGTAAATTTAGCAGAAAATTTTTAAATTTAATATTAAAAAAATGCATTATTTAAATTATATAAAGCTTTAAAAAATTATACATCGCAAAAACTCTAATAAATTTTATATAAACATTTATGTATAGTTATTTAGAAAATTTTTTAATTTAAAGTTATTTCTGTAATTTTCACACAGAATTTTTTTCCGTGTACTTATTTCAAATAATAAATTTTCCCTTTAACAATCTAGATGATTAACATTTTTATCTGCTATCACTTTGAACTATTTTATCGTAAAAATTGATAGGAATTTAAGGAGGAACTATTGTAAAAATAGTGAAAAATTTAAATATATATTCAAAAAAATATGAGATATATAGGTATCGCTCCTGAAACCCTCAAGAACATATATCACTTGTAAAAGTGCTCCGCATAAAGATAGATAAAAGAAAAAGGAGGACATATTTTGAGTACGTGGTCCATTTTCATCCCTAGGCATTATGGAAATCGTCACAACAGATGCGGACTACGGCATTGTGACCGTGAAGGATGTACGATGCAAATACGACTGTTTTTAGCGTAGCTATTTATCAAATGTCGGGTGACGCGATGATTAATTGACAAATAACAAACTAAACTATTTAATAATAAGGGTGTAATAAATATTTGTTCCAGGATATCGATTTCAACAGCCCGGTTATTCAAGGAAGAATGCTCGAAATGCAGGCGCAGCGCTGCAACAACGGTTCGACTCCCCGAGCAGGTAATTTTTCACGGTGAAAATAACAATTGTATTAATGAATTTATTTAAATTAAAAGAAATAATTTTTATTATTGGCGTTGTGAAACGGCATAAATTATAAATTATCACGGAGGTTATAGACATTTATTATATAATATTATTATTATTAAATTAATAATGTGGTGAGAGTATTATTGTAACATCTAACGGATGTTATCTCCACTTGCCCTGAATCCATACGAATAGCGTTAAAAATAAATAAGAGAGATAGAGAGAGTACCAATAAGCTATAATGGAGGATTATCTTAGTGAACATTAGTAGACCAACACATATTTAAATTAATGCATAATCAATATCGTTATTTGTCTTATTGTTTAAATAAAATAATTAAATATTACATCACAAATCAAAAACCAGTGATTAAAATTTATGAAATAAGATATTAAATCATTGTTAATTAAATTTTTCAATCAAGCTTGAGGTGTTTTATTAAATTTGTTAAATGAGTAAATACATGACTAATGATTTGATTAGTTATTAAATGTTATTGTAAAGTGTTATAATTGCTAATGAATCTTTGAGTTATTTTATTTTGCGTAATTGATTTATAGATTTGAACTTTACTTTTAAAATTTTAAGCTAAATAATATTTAAAAAAGGACATTTGTTTAGGTATGCTCACAGAATTATGAGGTAACACACAAACTTGTGTCAACTAATAAATGTTGTAATTCTCAATCAGAATTTATAATAAATTTAGTAATTGAGTAATTTAATCCATAAATGATTTAGCGAATCAATATGGATTTATTTACCGCAGGGTTACTTAGTAACAGGAAATTCAAATTTAATGCGTGTTACCAAAGTTTATCAACTGATATATGTAAACAATTTATGTATGTGTACATTAGATATATTATATTGTTTGACGAGTACATCAAAACCACACTGTTGAAAAATTTTTATGATTTCTCGTTAACATAAAGTACTTCGCGTGGAAATTTTTTTAGGCTGCGGTTTGTTTTGTTAAATTAATGAATTTTTAACAAGCAAAACCCGACCATTTGTTATTTTATTTATTTTTAATAATAACGAGAAAATTTAACTGGTAAAAAAAGTTAATCAAGAAAAATTATCGTAAGACTTTTTATCGTTTTATATATAAGATTTACTCATTTAATTTATCTAATAAATTAATTGTTATTTTTTTATGAAAAGTACCCGTTATAAAGTCTTTATAGAGCTTAATTTTTTAATGGTTTATTTTTAAGCTTTTAAGAAACTGACAGAATAATCAAGAAGTTTAATTATATACTTTAATTTTCAACAGCAAACTAAAGTTTATTAGATGATATTTAACCGACCCCAAGTACTTGTTACGCAATATCAAATCCATATTCTGATATTAAGTAGATGATATCAGTATCAATGTATATTGAAAAGAGTTCTAAATTGGAATTTACATACTACGTGAGGCAGCAAGGGTTTAGTTACATATTCCTCTCTCGAACATTTAATTAATGTCAGCGTTTGTCAGCCATTGATATATATTTTCAAAATCCATATTCTGTTGCTCTATTATCCCATATGTAGCCACTATTCACGCACTGTGTTCTCGAAACAATTTATAAATCAACGTCGTCCAATTACAAAAAATGTTTCATACACCCGCTTTAAAGTTATATCCATTTTATTCATTCTTCATACTGCGAGCAAAATTATTTAGAGATTATTTCATTGCATGAAATTTAGTTACTGTAAGCTATTCAGTGAAAATTTTTGCTCCAATTTTTCACTACTTGCCAATGAATTTTCGGACGAACAATAAATTAATAAAATCAATTTTTTATTTTAATATTTGTCTAGAAATAAATTATAAAAAAAATTTATTTTCAATAATTGCAATTAAGTATATAATTAAAATTTAGTAAAATATAAATTAGCGTTTTAACGTCATTTAAGACCTCAGAAAAATCTAATTTTTATGTTTCTTTGATCAGAAATTCGATAAATAAATCTACAAAGCCACTTTTGAAATGAACTACTCAAGAAATAGTAAAAAAGTATTCAATCTCTCAATAAAAAAAATATTCCTTTGACGTCACAATTCTTTATGAAAATAACATAAATAAAAACGATTGAACTTTATTAGTTTATATTTACCGTAATGTAAAATATCTTTCGAAGAATTGAATGAAAAATTTCTTATATTGATGGAAATAAAGTATCTAGCATAGATAAGAATTTCAATGTAATATAAATATTTTCAAACAAGGAAATCATTGAACTTATTGATGCATGATAAATTGAACTTTCAGGTTGGTGTCCTGAGACCTGGGATAGCATACTTTGTTGGCCACCCACGGCTCCCAACGAGCTTGCAGTGCTGTCGTGTCCTCACTACATCGCTGGGTTTGACTTGCAGGTAAGCAATGAAAACATTCGATTTCCCAATAATTTGATGAATTTACATTATAAATTATTATTATTATTATTATAAATATAATATATAACAAATAACAGGCAAATGCCACGAGACAGTGCATGTCTGACGGACAATGGTACTGGAGCGCAGAAACAAATAGTACATGGAGCAACTACACGGAATGTTATAATACTCCGCTTGTAACCGTACTAATGGATCTGCCAGATATGGAGGCTGATAACGCCACACTCGTCAAGGTAATATAATCAAATATGTGCACGGGTTTGGGTATTAGATAGATCAGTAATAATAATACCGAGAATAACAGAGTCTCTCCCTGTGTACCCAAGATCCTATTAAATTTCTAAAGCTTTGATGGTTTAAGCCCCCGATATATGTACAAAGACTTCGTCTGACTGTTTGACAAAGTTAGAATCAGAATGATCAAGACTGTTGATATATTTCTACACAAGAAATTTATAATAATTAGTAATTATACTACTGAGACTCTGCTTCGCAATTATTATCTAGACTATTTTCTTATGAGGAAAATTAACGAATTATAAATTCATGTCAAGGCTTATTCTCTTTGATATGCTCTTAGCATTTTTATAATAAAATTTATTTTTATTGTCTTGAGAAGTCTGGTCAATTTAATTGAGAGGAAATATTTAATTATCAAATTAAGACGTATTTTTTCTGAAATAAAGAGATTTGTTTTTAATTTTAAAATATCGAATTTTAATTGAAAAGTTTCAGCTCTATTGAATTAACGGCAAAGTAAATTCTTAATTTTATTCTATTGTGATTGTTTTTGTTTTAATATTCTATGGAATATTTATATTTTCTCTGAATTAAAGTCGGGATATAAAATAATTAAATATTTTTTGCTGATGTAATAAAATATGAAGTTAAAAAAATCATCTGGTTCAGTTTTTATTTTTAATGAGATTTTGGCTTAAAAGTTTTAATAATCTTTTTTTTTATATGATGTTAAAGGTATCAAGAATAAATCTTTTATTTTTTTTTTTAATATCATAAGAATATACTCGAGCACCAATGAGAATTTCTAAGAGAAAGTTTAGGGCTCAGAGCCAAAACAAAGCATGTTAGACTTAAGAAAAAGAATTATAGGAAGCTTTTGTTCTTTCTTGATACTAAAAGTATAAAAAATTCTTTATGGATCATTAGATATTTATAAGATTTATACTAGAGAAAAAAAAAATTCGAAATTTTTTCCAGAATATTTTTTTTAACAGATTTTAGAAATTAATGAAAAATTTTAATCATAAAAATGACGAGCATTATTGTAAATTATAATTTATTTTAAATTAAATTAACCAGAAAGTTAAATAGCTAGCTAAAAATAAATTTAATAAAAAATAGTGAAAGAGTATCAACAATCAAAATGTCAGAGTTGAAACAGACAGACGAGATAAAATAAAATGAAATTACAGGATTAAATGCATTCCAAAAGTGTAATAAAACTAGCGTGGGTAATGAGACTCTGCTCAGATGGATCAGATTAAAGTACCGAGAACAAAGTTATTTAAATCCATTAAACAAAAAAAAATAAAAGCTTTTTAGAATTTTTTCAGCGGTGTAACATTACGAATAATCAAATAAGTTAATAAAAGAAACAAATAGATTAATATTAACGGCGATTAATTTATTAATAGAAATATCTGCCGGTGGTTAAAATAATATCAACAGTTGGGTACGCGGTATCCTTGTCAGCGCTGATTGTCGCTTTCTGCATCTTGGCAACAATAAAGTAAGTAGCTTACATAAATTATTTTATAAAATAGAACAAGTAGTTGTTTGTTTGTAATCCAATGTAATTTAATTTAACGTAATGTAATGTTATGAATAATTATTTAATCATATGATATTATACTAAGGAAACTGCGGTGTCCGAGAAACATGCTTCACATGCATCTATTTGCGTCATTTATAACCCGAGCATTTATGGCATTGCTCAAAGAAATTATTTTCATCTCCGGACTGGGTCTTTCTTCAGATGTGCTTATTAAAAACGGAGAGAGTTACTGGCTTGATCATGATATTGAAAGTAATTGGCATTGCAAGGCATTCACTAGTTTCTGGCAGTACGCTATACTTGCAAATTACTCTTGGATATTGATGGAAGGCCTCTATCTCCATAATTTAGTTTTTTTTGCATTATTCACCGACTCTAATTCCAGTATCGCTGGTTACGTCGCGCTTGGATGGGGTAAGTATTAATTTAAGCAAGCAACAAAACTGAAAAAATAAACAAGCTGATAAACACATTATTCTATCTATCCTTTTAAGGTCTGCCGCTGGTATTTGTACTGCCTTGGATATCAATGCGCGCTTGTATTGAGGATACTTTCTGCTGGACTATCAATTTAAATCCCTATGTGTTTTCCGTAATTCGCATTCCGACCACACTTTCTATAGTAGTAAGTACAACTATCCTATTTATTATAAATTATAATCATTTTTTTATAATAATAATTAATCTTGTTTTTTTTAGATTAACTTCGCCCTGTTTGTCAATATTGTAAGGGTGCTTTATTTAAAATTAAAATCAGCCGTTTGTGAAGAGACGCATCGTTACCGGTAAGATAATTTAACATTTTAAATTTCCAAGCATTGATTTTTTTTTAATTAATTTTTTTATTAATTAAGACGATGGGCTAGAAGTACTCTAGTACTTGTACCACTTTTTGGAGTTCACTACACCGTTTTCCTCGGGCTGTCCTACAGTATCGGATTTGATGAGCGGGTTGAGCTTATTTGGCTTACTGGTGACCAACTTTTTGCATCGTTCCAAGTAATTAATTTCTTTTTATATTAAGTTTAAAAAAAAAATATATCAATATATTTTTTACGATATTGGAATTATCAGACATTAATCAATTTTTTATTTTTTTCATTAAATAAAAAATTAAAAAAATTACACTTGTAGTTTTTTTAATTTTTTGCATGTGAAAATTTTTACATAATAATTTTTTTTTATTAAAAAAATGATTTAAAAAAATGTTCATTTGTAAAAAATTTGATAAATTTTAAGTGCAATTTTTAAAAAATATTTTTTAGTTCTAATTTAATACTTAAAAAAAATTAAAAACGTCGGCTAACTTTAGTGTTATCATTTTTTACTAAATAAATTTTATTAATTAATTAAATGTGAAAAATAAAAATAATTTTTTAAAATTTTCAGGGTTTTTTTGTTGCGGTGCTATATTGTTTTTTAAACACCGAAGTGCGAACAGAAGTTACACGAGCTTTAAGAACAACAAAATGGCCGCAATTTGGTAGCGGAAGATGGGGCCAGAGATCATCGACGCGCTGTAACAGCACATGCAGCTGTAACGCCACGAAAATAATGAAAGAAACAAAAAAGACTACCTGGTGGCAACTACCCTGTCCTTGTTTCTTTCACAAAAAAAATATTCATTCCAATCACTCGATGGCGAGTACTCAAGGTGTCTTATCTATTGTATGAACAAAAATCGTAGGGGAACTAGTCTGATTTTCTGATACTTTTTATTAGCTGATAAATTTAAACTGATTTATTATTTCTTTATATGTAGTATCTGTGGAAGTAAAACAAACAAATAATTAATTTATTACCCACTTGCAGACGTTACAACAAGAGGATGTAGTCTAGCAAGTAGCAGAGGGTACTTGGATTCCGTTGATCATGGGCACGGCATCAATTTGCCAGACGGCTATGTACAAACTACCAATCAAGCATCACCTCTCCGAAGCAAGTATACAGATCAGTCAATGTTATCATTTTACTCCAATGTATGTACTCTTTTATTTTTATTTAAAATTATGAATTTCCGGCCTAGTTTTATTTTCATTGAAATAATAAACTAACTAGTTATTTTGTTATTGATTTTATAGATATCGGAAGGTTGCGGACTAACATCAAATCTAACTTATAAAATAGAACCGAGTGAACACCATCGCTGGAGCGATTCTGAGTGCTGCAGTTTGTCCTTCGAGTTACACAACTTCCATCCAGCATGACCGAGGAACAAAGTCCTGAGTGATAATAAATTTAAAGCCCTAGTATAGGTTTTTTTTTTATTTTTAATATTTTAGTTTTATGAAATTGTCAGAGGATTTTATTCAACGACAAATGTAATGATTTAATTATATATTTAAAAAATTTTTTCTCATTTCTGGTACAATTGAATTTAAATATTTAATTTTTTACATCTGTAAATTTTTATTTTCATTTTTACTGTGCTAGAAATAGAAAAAATAATCTATGAGACTCGTTAATTATAAGTATAGTTTTATAATGATGAATACCTCAAATTCTCAGGCAGAATTTTAAATAATTATTCGCTGGCGAACTGATAAATATTTACTTAAGGCCTAATTCATAAGAAATATTGATATTAATGTTAAAAAAAAAATTAAGTTTTTTCATAAATAAAATATAAATATCAATAAAAAACATCGACCTAGCAGAATATTGTTACATTTGATATAAAATTATAATAAAATAAAAAAGTATCAGCGCTCTCTACGCAAATCAACAGTGACCGATTGAAATGTAATTGTAAATAAAACAATGAAAAACAACTCTTAAATAAATTTTTTTAATGGTATTAATTAATTATTTATACAAATAATTTTTAAAATTAAATGTGACTTATCTACAGTACAAGTGAGTTTACCGTGAGTAACAATTATAAATTTAGTATCTAATATTATAAGAAATAAAGTAAAAATACTTGTATATAAAAAATAATTATGCGGCATTTTCTGCTTTTTCAATACCTAAAAATGGAAGCCACGAGCCTTCGTTTTTCAATTTGTTTAGTTTAGCTTTGTGGAGAAGTATGCTGCCCATAACTTGCTCTGCGGTGTTGGTTTGTCCATAGTAATCTACGAAAATACCATCTGGATCCACTAAGTACATTATTATCGTATGATCAACCTGTAATTTTAGTAAAAAAATATTTTAGTAATATATAGTTCAACTTAATTAGATAAAAAATAAAAAAAATAAAAGCTAAAGGTTTTTTTTTAAAGTCAGAAAATACAAACAATGTAATCGTTGTCATTATCCTTGGGTCCACTGCTGAAGTAAACACGATAAGCTTTGCAAGCTTTAGCGACTTGCTCCTTGTTGCCAGTTAATCCAATTATTTTATCTGAAAACTCTTTGCAATATTTTCCAACAACTTCCGGTGTGTCTCTGTCGGGATCCACGGAGATAAATATTGGTTGAATTTTTATATTTTTTTGATCTAAAATAAAATTATATATTTAATTTATATTACTCAAAAATTCAGTTGTTGATAAACTAGCAACCTTGCAGTCACTATGTGACTGCCGTGACTTGTGAACTATGAATAAATAAAATTTTGCTTTATTAAAAAATGAAATATGTTAAATTGCGCTGTACTTTTTTAACTATTGACGTTTTTTAAGATATAAGCTCATCCCGATGTTACACTCAACAAGAGCTTTCATTTGAGTACCCACATGCATTTTCATATATTTTTCATATATACATATATGTAATATATATATAAATATATGAAAAATTGATGGGGGTACTCAAATGGAAGGTCTTGTTGAATGTAACATCGGGATGAGCTTATATCTTTAAAAATGTCTCAAATGAAAGGTCTCGATGAGTGTAACATCGGGATGAGCTTATATCTTTAAAAATGTCATTCGATGACAAGATTCAATGTCATTACTTAACTATTGGCATTTTTAAAGATATAAGCTCATCCCGATGTTACACTTATCAAGAGCTTTCATTAGAGTACTCACATGCATTTTGATATATTTTTCATATATACATATATGTAATATATATAAATATATAAAATATATGAAAAATTGATTACCCACATCAATTTTATGAAAATTTGAGTACCCACATCAATTTCTCATATATTTATATATATTACATATATGTATATATGAAAAATATATGAAAAAATGATGTGGGTACTCAAGTGAAAGGTCTTGATGAATGTAACATCGGGATGAGCTTATATCTTTAAAAATGTCAATAGTTCACAAGATACAAGATCATTTCTTAATTATGTATCCAGAGATAGAGCATTTTAGAATGCAGCCTAAATATTTATTTTATACTGGCCACAAAATTTTGCTCATTCTCTTAATAATATAGATAAGTAGATAACTTACCTAGTTCATTAATAATAGAGACCATTTTTTCAAGTTCATCTGGACATATATCAGGGCAGTGAGTGAATCCAAAATAAAGGAGCACCCACTGACCCAAGAAATCATCAGATTTAACGAGTTCACCCTTAGAGTTAACCAGCTCAAATTTCCCTCCGATTGCAGCTTTTCCGAGTGTTCTCCTACGTTCTTTGTCAACAATCAGATCCTTCTTTTGCTTCAAATACTCCAGGTACAATAAAAAAGCACCACCCACTGTTCCACCTATCGCTAAACTGCGCCAAGAGATCGGGGAGTACTTCGATGAGCCTAAAAATGTCGCGATCTTCTGAAGCGTCTCCCGAACTTTTGATGATGGTCTTTCCGGTGGTTGCAATCGCTGCGTTGAGTATCCAACTGGTGGTCGCTATAAAATTATTGCAATCAAGTAATTAGATATAAATAAAATTTAATTAATTGACAAAACTCCAATTGATAAATCAATAAATATCATCACTTACCTGCAACGGAATGAACTTGGGACACGATTGTAAATTTCTTAAAGAACGTAACATTTTTTTATTTTTATTTATTAATTAACCTAGATGTTTTTCACGGTCATAGATTTCAATTCTGATGCAATACACTTGTCAAATTTGCAATATAAATTTAACCGGTAAGTTTTTTAATAAAAAGTTTATTTCAATACCATGAAGACAAACTGTGTCAGATAAATAAACAAATAATTTGTTTTAAAACCCGGTAATTTGTTCAACCGCAATGATCTCACAGCACATAGAAAAATTTTTTATACATTGAACAGCTGATGATCATCCTTGTCAGGTTGGTAATTTAGATTTCTCAGTATGAGTTTCTACATGTCAAACATTAACCTCTTATTTTTTAATCATAGTCATAGTGATGATGGATAAGTAAACAATAAATAAATAAATAAATGAATAAATAGATAGTAATTGTTGTAATTATTGTAAGTTAAGAAATTTTTTAAATAAATAATGAATAGATTCGAGTACGCGGAAGCTAGGCTGATGCCAAATGAAATTTTTGTTAGAAGGAATATGTCAATAAGAATTTATGATGGTGACACCAAGGTACTTTTTGTTTTTAATTTGATAGTTATTTTTTCTTATGACATTAAATTTTGCTGTCACTTTACAATTTTTTAACAAACAAATTTTTTCCAAAAAATTATTTATAAAAAATTGCATTTTTTTATTTTTTAAAATTTCTACATGTCAATTTAAAAAAAAAATATTTTTTTGCAATAATTTATTTGTTACAAAAATTACGACATTAAAGTTAGCAGTCACTTGATTATTTTTTAGTTTTTTTTTGACAAATAAATTTGTTCCGAAAAATTATTTTTTAAAAATTGCATTTTTAATTTTTTTAAATTTCTACATGTCAATTTTTTTTTTTATAATTTTTTTTGCCATAATTTACTTGTCAAAAAAATTTTTTAAATTATCAAATATCTGCTGAATTAATTTTCATACAAAAATTATTAAATAACTGCTAAATTAATTTTCATACAAAAATTATTAAAATTATCAAATATCTGCTAAATTAATTTTCATTTTTTTCTTCAATAAAAATTTATAGATAAAAAAAAAATTTTTTTAGACAAATTTCGCAGGCGGTGAATTAGTATTGACAAGCCATCGGCTGATATGGGGCCGACCTGGCGACATACCGAACGGAAAAGTTTGTCTATCGTTATCGCTCCGGTACGTTATCTTCTTCGAAGAAGAAGCACCAAGTACATTTTCATTTGGCCGTAGTAAAAAAATAATTCTACACCTAGCCGAGCCGCCGATCAGCAAGTCTCCCGGGCCGGTGGATAACAGCACAAATATGCACATAAAGTTATCGTTCAAAGAAGGTCTAGATCCTAATTACATTACCCAGCTGGCTGATGTTATTATGAAGAAACAGTGGGAAGTTATAATAAGCTCACCTATAATTGAACCTGAAGCGACTAATCCTCAGAAAAGCCAGTTGCCGGTGATTAAAACTCGGACCGGAATTATCGGAATCGAAAGGGGCTTGCAGGAGAAACAGAAAGCTACCGATCAAAGTATTACCATGGCCTTCCAAGACCTTAAGAAACTGATGGAGATGGCCAAAGATATGGTGTCGATATCTAAAACAATTTCTAATAAAATTCGGGTAATTATTGTTGATTAAATTTATTTTTTAATTTTATTTAATTAATAAATTTAATTTGTACTTACAGGAACGTCAAGGTGACATTACTGAAGATGAGACTGTGAGATTTAAATCTTACTTGATGAGCATGGGTATTGATGATCCAGTCACTCGCGATGCTTACAAAAGTAGCAATGAATATTTTAAACAATTGGCCATTCAACTTTCTCAAATTTTAGAAGAGCCGATTAAGGTTTTTATTTTTTATTTTTAATTAAAAATTTTCTTTATATTTTAAAAGAATCCCGGAAAAAATTTTTAAGTTATAAAAAATTCATATTATTTCATTAAAATTATTTTAAAATAATAATATTTGTGTAATAAAAAATGGAGCGATCATTGCGGGGGTGCTCGTTTTTCATGAAAATTAATTTAGCAGATATTTAATAATTTTAATAATTTTTGTAGCAAATAAATTATAGAAAAAAAAAAATTTTTTTTTAAATTGACATGTAGTAATTTAAAAAAATTAAAAATGCAATTTTTTAAAATAATTTTTTGGAAATAATTTATTTTTTTAATAAAATTAAAAAATGACCAAGTAACTGCTAACTTTAATATCATTGTTTTTCAGGAAAATTGTGGGCGCGATACAATAATTATTATTATAATAATTTTTTCCGGGTTTATTTTTTCCAATTACCATTTTAAAATAAATTTTTAATTAATGAAAAATTTAGTTTATAAGAACTTGGTAGAATTTATTAAAATCATAAATTTTCAATCATATATAATTATAAATTAATTCTGATATTGATTAACCGTTTTAGGAGGTAGGAGGAATGATGACATTGACTGACGCCTATTGTCGCGTAAACAGAGCCCGTGGGTTAGAACTACTGTCACCAGAAGATTTATTAAACGCTAGTAGACAACTGGGTCCTTTGAACCAACCATTAGTTCTAAGGATATTCGACAGCGGTGTTATGGTACTGCAGGCTAGGTCTCATGACGACAATGCTGTTATTGAAGACATTGCTGAACTGGTATTGCTTTATATTAAGAGTTTATAAATTTTATATTATTATAGGATTTTTAATAGTAATTAATATTATGTTTTTGTTAAGCTTGATGACAGAGGATCAATAACCGCGGAAGAACTGGCCCAGTCTAGTGGAATTTCAGTTTTATTAGCGCGAGAAAGGCTGTTGGTGACCGAAAAATACGGGCGCGCTTGCCGTGATGATTCTATTGAATCATTGAGATTTTATCCAAATCTCTTTCTTCGGCAAGAAACATAATTTTATTTTAGGTTTTAACTTTACCTATACCGCAAAGTTTTTAATTTTGAGTTGAATTCTGTACGGTACTTTATTGTTGTGAATTTATAAGCAAATTTATATATTAATTAATCATGAATAAAAATTGTTGATGAATTTGATAAATGTAATAAAATTATGTATTTCTTAATAAAATATATTAAAAGTATTTTTAATTTATGAGTTATTAATTATTTTTTGAACTTGTTAATATTTACGGATTAAAAAAATATCGAATGCTAATTTTTTATACATTTTCGCTATTTTCAGCGCAATACATATTTTAATATTATTATTATTATTATTACTATTAAAAAATTATTAATGACACCTACTTATGAAAATTAATTTAGCAGATATTTTATAATTTTAAGAATTGTTTTAACAAATAAATTATGCCAATTGACATTTAGAAAATAAAAAATGTAATTTTTTAGAAATAATTTTTCGGAGTAACTTTATTTATTGAAAAAAATGGATATTACTGAAGTTTTTTTAAAATTATTAAATTAGAACTAAAAAATATTTTTAAAATATTTCACGTATTGTTTTTCAAGTTTTTTACAAATGAAATTTTTTTTTTGTAATCATTTTTTTAGTAAAAAAAAATTCTAAAAATTTTTAAATGTCGACTAACTTAATTTTCATAAAAAATGGTCAAATGACTGCTAACTTTAATGTGATCACCTACTTGTCATTCCAGTTATTTAATTTACAATTTTTAAATAATAAAATAAAATAATACCAAAAAAAAATAGCAATAACAAGCATTCAATGACTTACCAACGACGTTTCAATTCCAGGAAAACTGCAAAACACTCACCACAAACAACTAACACAAAAACACTTAAAAAAAAAACTAAAAAGCTAATTTTATTGTTTACTTTTAACGATATATTTATTAAATATATTAATTAGTGACACTTACTGTAAATAATAAAAGATTTAAGTTGAAAAACACAGAACTTGCATAGAGAGATGTAAGCGCGTCGACATTTTGTTCGCAACTGAGTAGGAAGATATTCTCGGCGTTTACCACCCAACTTTGAGGCGCGCTATTTAAACTACATTTAAAAATAATCTAGCTATTACAAATATTTTTTAATTTTTATTACATAAATAATTGAAAAATTGAATCATAAAAAAAAATCACAGTTTTTAAATCATGTTAATTAAATATAAAATCAAAACAAAATAATTTTTATTCAAAAAGAAGAAATAAACTTTGACGCCATCTTTAATAAAAAATTAGAACTGGAAACAATGACGTGTGACGTCATCACGTACAAAGTATAAAGTGTCATGTAGTTGTAATATGTCAATATGTTTGACATAAGTGAATGCGTAAAAAAAATTCATTTATTAGTTTTTTTTTATAACACTTTAACATAAAATATTATTTATTTATAATTACTGTAAATAGTAAACCTGTCATAGAAATATAAGAAACTACGTAACACAGTAATCGATCAAGATTTAATTTCTCTTTTCGAAAAACAGTACGAGTAAACGTCAACCTACATACTATTGTAATAAATAATATAAACAGAAAAAAATAATTAAGCACTCATTTGACACGTGTAATTATTCAAAGCACTTGTTACTATTATTCAACTTCCTTCTTAGATATCAACATCTGTTCTCTATTTTGTTTTAATTTCCATTGTAATTATATAATTATTTATTTAACATATATTTCTCCGTATTCAAGTATTGAGTTTTGATATTAAAAACAAAAAATAAAAAAAAAAAACAGTGACATTGATTATAAAAGAGTTTTTCTACAATTGAAATGGGTACATGCATTGTCACAATAATTTGTCATTTAAACTATTTGCATTGATTTGAAAACTTTAAAATAAGTTGATAATTGTATGGTAATTTTTTTTTTTTTGCAGCCGAAAAATGTCTGACAGTACAGATGAAGATGAAAAAATAGAAATGTATATTCCGGAGTTTAATTTCACTACTCCAGAACACACTTTGGATTATATACTTTGCAAGCCTAAATTATTACCATTGAAGTCGGTGACACTTGAAAAACTTGAAAAAATGCAACGAGATGCTGATGAGAAAATGAAAAAAAGTCGTGAGCTTGAAAAAGAATTAGAAAAAGAAGAAAAATAAAATATTTCATTAAATTGTCAATTATTAATTGTAATAACAATAATTAATCATGAGTGTTGGTCCTTTGGTAACGGAGATAGTGCTGGCGTTTTGCCTTGCAACGACACTTTTATACCGATATGGAAATATATTTAGAAATCATATTGTCGTCACCGTTTCTGTACTTATCGCTTGGTACTTTTCATTGTTAATTATATTTGTTTTACCATTAGATGTGTCATCTGTAAGTATTTATTATTATTATTATTAGTAATTTTAATTTCTATTACAATATTTTGCTTTAAATCAAAACTTATTAATAATTTTTACTGAATATTAAAATAAGTTATTAATTAATGTAATTAATTTTTAGACTGTATATAGACAGTGTGTAGAAAAAAATAGTCGTTACAATTTATCAATCACTACAGACAACAATAACACTAGTAATGTAACGATAAAATGCGAGAAGCCATGGTCTAGTGTCCCAGACAGCGTATTTCCAAATTTATGGAGAATTGTCTACTGGACATCTCAGTGTTTGACGTGGTTAATATTACCCTTGATGCAGTCGTACATCAAAGCTGGTGACTTTACAGTCAAGGGAAAATTAAAGTCCGCTTTGATAGATAATGCTATTTATTACGGAAGTTATCTGTTTATTTGTGGTGTACTTTTGATATACATCGCATTGAAGCCTGGTTTAGATCTTGATGGGTAATTGTTAATTATTTATCATTTTTTTATTTTATTTTATTTATAATCAAGTGATATTACATTACATGATGATAAAAGGCGCATTATAAAAATGAAAAATTCTGAAATTCTAAGAAATAATTGCAACTACTAGATGGGGAAATAGCAGAATTAAAATAAAAAAAGATTATTGTATTTATTTGTGTTCTGATTAGATCAGGAGATGCTTTTTGGTGTTGTTGATGAAAGCGCTGTATAAAACTCCGTAGGAATCAATTTCACCTTTAATTGAATATTAATTTATTTTATTAATTGCAGTCAAAAATTGAAAGCCATCGCATCATCGGCTTCAAACACATGGGGACTTTTTTTGTTAATAATGCTATTGGGTTACGCGCTAGTCGAAGTACCACGGGGACTGTGGAATGCTAGTAAACCAGGTTTCACATTACAGTACAGTTATTTCAAAGCTTCGAAGTTAAATTTAGAAAAATGCGAAGCTGAAGAAACTGTTGATGATATTTTAGAGGTAATTTATATCTTTATTTATTTTTATTTAAAATCTCAATTAACTGTTTGATTCAGTCGCTGCAAGCCGCATCAACAGCAATTGGTAGCACACATCCATTTCATCGTAATCTAGAGACAATATTTCAAAAAGTACCAATTGAATTGAAAGAACGTATGAATAGAAGACAACTTCCTGAAGATGCTCACACAAATGCTCCCTCTGAGAAATCATTAATTAGATTACATAGACAAGTACTTAATAAATTTATTTTTTATTAAAAATTATATTTATTTCATTTTTTATTTATAAAAATTTTTTTTAGACAATCAAAGCTCTGCAAACGCTCCAAAGAACGGAAACCCAATGGGGAATTTTAGTCGAACAAATTTTTCATCTCGAAGATATTTCGAAAAATCAAACGAATCATGATAGAAGATTCAAGTCATCTTTTCCCACTATTCGTCCGTTTTTTATTCGTTTAATTTATAACCCAACACTAGGTATTAATAACTATATTAATAGCAATGTTTATTTATAAATTGAATAAATTATTCAATGGTTTACAGAATGGTATTGGAACTGCATAATCAAAAGTCATGTACAAAAAGGACTGGCTATAGTTGCCGGCTGTTTATCAGTAGCAGTCGTTTGGTCTGAAGTAACTTTCTTTAATAAGGATCCAGTACTGTCACTATTTGCTCAATTTTTAAAGTTGGCTTCTGTAAAATACGATTATCTAACGATTGAGGTAATTAATCACAAAATCAAACCAAAAAAATTAAATCATGAATTAAGAAATTACCTTGTATCTTGAGAACTATTGACATTTTTAAAGATATAAGCTCATCCCGATGTTACACTCATCAAGACCTTTCATTTGAGTACCCACATCAATTTTTCATATATTTTATATATTTATATATATGTATATATGAAAAATATATAAAAATGTATGTGGGTACTCAAATGAAAGCTCTTGATGAGTGTAACACCAAGATGAGCTTATATCTTCAAAAACGTCAATATTTAAAAAATTATAGTGCAATTTAACAAAAGTCATTATTTAATAAAGTAAAATTTTAGTTATTTATAGTTCACAAGTCACGCCAGTCACATAGTGGTTGCTAGTAATTATAATATAATTTTTGTTTTTGTTGAATAGATCCTATCAACAATGATAATTGCATATCTTTGTTACTGTGCGTACTCGACAGTACTTAAAATTCGGCTGTTGAATCTCTACTACCTGGCGCCGCATCACCAAACAAATGAGTACAGTTTGATATTCAGCGGTATGATGTTCTGTCGTTTGACACCACCAATGTGTCTCAATTTCCTTGGATTGATTCACATGGACTCGCACATTATTAAAACGCACATACTGGAAACTCATTACACTCAAGTAATGGGACATATGGATGTAATATCAATTATATCCGATGGGTTTAACGTATACTTTCCGATGGCAATTTTAGCATTTTGTTTAGCGACTTACTTTAGTCTTGGCAGTAGATTGTTATCTGTATTAGGGTTCCAACAATTTCTTGGTGACGATGAAGTTACTACTGATCTCGTTGATGAAGGAAGAGAATTGATACAGCGAGGTATTTATTAATCTAATTAATTCTATTTATATTATTTTTAATTCAAGATATTTTAAAAATAATAAATAAATTTAATTATTCAGAGCGACGCAGAAGACAACGTATTGAAGAGTCAATAATGCGTCGTCGTGAATTTCAAGAACGAACAAATAACCCAGCACGTAATCGTAATTCTAGACAAAGTGTTGATACCGGTGAGTTCAATTTACAAGTAATATAAAAAAAAAAAAAAAAAGATCATTAGTAAAACGTAAAAACCGTGAGATAAATAAATAAAAAATTTACCCCCAGTACGGTCTGTCAAACGCGACGAATCTACTGAATCAGTCAGAGCAGGTCTACTGCGTGATTTTGATACCTCTGATTACTATGTCGGTACGACATTTAACTCATCCTCGAACAGATATGGAGCTAATAACGCATATGAACGCAATGGATATCAGTCCAGTGATTTTTACGATATTAATAATGACGAGGATAATTCGAGAATATATTCTTCGTCCTCGATCAATAATAGTAGTAGTAATTACAGTAGAGCACCGCCACGAAGAATATTTGATGATGTGTGAGTTTGCTAGTTACAAGCACCCAGCATTTTTTTTTTTAAACATAGTTAGCTAATTAATAATTAATATATACATATGTAATTTTAAAGAACGATTCACTGGATCGTAATGAGCCTTATTCAAATTATTTAACTACTACATAGTAATATATACATATAAAAAATATTTATATTTATGTACAAGATAATTTATAAAACTGTTTTTTAACTTTGAAATATTTTTTATAATCCTCCGAGCTTATGACCGGTTTCAAAGACAAAAAGCAGTTTTAATTACCTTGTTGCTTAATTGCTTGTTTTTTTTTTTTTTACCAAGCATGTACAATATATCTCGTCAGTTATTTTAATTTCTTAATTTTATTATAAAATTGCTATTTATTATTTAGTCATTATTATAATTATTATTATTATACTGACACGTTTCTTATTGAAATATAAATAATAAATATTTTCACAGTGATAGATAGGAATTAACTATTAATGGTAAATAAATAAAAAAATTGCATTAATTTACATATATATATATATATATCTATATTTATTTGATTAAAAATCTTTTTTGCTATTAGTTATATAAATAACATACTTTATTGGTATTAGATAAAAATTGTGCGTAAAATTGATTAAAGAGTTGTATCAAAGCTAAAATAAAATTCAAAAAATGTATTTTGATTGTTTTAGATTGTGCGTAGTGCGATGTACTGTTATAATTATTTTATTAATGAAAATGGCAGTTTTAGCACGAATTCTAAATAAATAACTTTTTGGCAATTGGAAGTCCAGTATTAAAATACTTTATCTATTTTTTTTATTTTTAAAAAAATATTTATCTATTTTTCCTGATAAAATCTATTTTTTTATAGACTATTTTACTTTTTTTAACTTGTAATAGTTATAAACTTTTTCTATTTTAAAATAAGTTAAAATTTAAAAATCCAACATTGATAAAAATATTATTAATTTTTAAAATAAAAATAAAATCTTTAATATTAATAAAAAAAAAAAAACGTAGGAAATTTTTCAGACAAAATAAACAATATAAAATGTAACAATAGCTAACAAAAAAAAGGAGAGTGTATAAGCGATAACAATCCTCACAATTTTAACATGTTCTGAGCGAGTGATACGTTTTTTATTAGATCGTCTTTTATTAGTATTTTCCAAGTCCGGCATCATTAAAATCGGTTCAAGCATTAGCAAACTAGCTCTATGATTATGACTGTAATTATAATTATGATTGTGCAAACGTGCAGCGGATAAATTAAACATCTCGTTACTATTCTTCGTACTTAAAAGCCTAGTGTCTTCATTAAAATCCATCCAATACTGAATTTCATCATCGCAGTCGACATTTTTAGCCTCTTCACTTCTCAATCTTGCCTCTAAATTAACATTTTTAAAAACTTTGGGTCTGAAAATATTCTTCCTTGATATCCTCGAGCAACTATCAATCATCCGACGATGATAATAATCAGTGTTTCCATGATTGCTCACCAAATTATCAATTTTCCTTAATTTACTTTCTCCCTCAGTATCAAAATCATTAAAAGTACCAACCAGTAAAATACTAGGCCCAAGTGTGCTTAAATCAAAGATATCCGGCTCTTCCACTTTCGAGTAACTCAACCCTGAATGGTTCGTCTTTTTGAGATTAAAAACTGGCATGTAATCCCGAGTATCGCCACCAAATAAATTTTTGCTATTAAAAATCAGTTGCTTTGTATAAAATTGACAAAAACAATCAACAAGTCTTGCCTCGAGGAACCGATTTTCGTAGACCAGTCTGTCACTATAGACAACAGACTTATTAGCGACAGCGCAGTATTGACAAATTTTCTGACTAGGCAAAAACAAAGTATTTATGAGTATTTTAGCCGTCTGTACGCTATATTTTTCATAATAATTTTCAATGCTATTTTTCGAGCTTCTTTTTGAAGATTTTTTATCCTCAGTTACAAAATTTCTCTCATTTTGAATTGATTTATGAGATAAAGAAGGCGAAGACACAAATTTACCTCTACCCTCTATTTCTTCATCAACAGTTTCATAAAACTCTTCAACAGTGTCTTTATAATTGTTATTAAAATTACAACTATCATTATTAAAATTATCATTAGAATTATCAAAATTTGCGTGTGTCTTCCCTTCGGGTGCGAAGTGGACGTCAACGAATGATTGAGCATCATTATCTAAGCGTAAGCCATCACTATTGTGCAAGTTTCCTAGTTTTAAATACTCTAAATGTAAGTGTCGATGGTGAACACACGCAAAATTGTATCAGTTTAATTTATTTTGAGTCTTCAATTTAGCTTCAGACTGACTGAGCCGTAATTTGAGTTTGTTAACTTCTTCCAAGACTTCAAGAATCGCAGAAGCGCTCCAAGCTTGGCTGCGACAGCTATCGCGACAATAGGCTCCGTCTTTGTTAGTCAACTCAGGAAGTCCTCGCCAGTGATTAGTAGAAGCTTCAGTAAAGTGTCTCGAAATAATAGCTTCAGTAGAGTGTATAGTCCGTTCTAATTCCTCGTCACCTCCAACAAGAGCCGCAAAGTGTAATCTTGCACGCAAAAAGTAGCCTATAGGCCAAAGCCACTCGGGCCCTTGGTGATAGTTCCAACCTTGGGCCAATTTAGTGTCAGTGGAGTCATTAGAGTTGTCGTAATTCCCGTCGTAGGCCCAGTCAGCAGGATCTAGAGTCCTCATTCCAAGTGGACCCAGAAGAATTGTCTCCGCGGACTTCAGCGCAGCCCATGCGTGCTTCGGATTGAATAATTCCGGAGCAGCGACCATCGCGATCGGGAAATTAGGCCGTAATTGGTAGTTAGCCCAAGGCTGAGTCGCTCCGTGACTGTCTTTGTAAATTCCACGCCTGTGAATCAGCTCCGGGTTCATTTCACCTTCAGTCGGAGTTTCGTTTACGTAAAAGTACTTTTCAAAATTATCAACAATGCGATCAGCCCACTGCTGATAGCTCCAAGTCGTTGAAGTACCATCGCGGTTTCTTCGTTGAACGCTACCGTACGGGAATAAATTTTTCTTGTACAGTTCCGCTAGAAATGAAAGCGCGGCTTTGCTTAATCCCACTATTTCTACCGCGGAACCGTCACGAGGTGTCGCTGGTTTACCTTTGTTCCCAGCTTTTTCAGAAGAACCCATTTTGTCCATCCAGGTTCCACAATTAGCGTCGTTTCCTCCAAAAACAAACCCTGTTTCTGGATGAACGCCAATTTGGTTGTTAAATCCGCGGTCTGTCATGTGCTCGTCGATCTGTTTGCCCGCGTTTCTTTCGCGGAAACACAGACCTTGGAAATGAACTGTCAGAGCTTCTTGAATAACATCACACAGCGGTTGGTCGACTTTTCCTGCAGGCAACGCCGGAGAATCATCAGTTGGAAACAACCTTGCTACTTTGTCCGACAGAATCTTAATTCCTTCTGGAACTTCTTCAACATAACACTTGATAGTGTACAGCCACCACCAAACAGCGTCGCGACAGTTGAATCTCGCATTCACTCCTCGATCCAGTAAATTAGGAATCAATCCATGTCTCAACGTTCCAGCAAAACCCAAAATTATAAACCTCGCCTCTTCGTGTCTTCCAGTTAGCAATAAAATTCCCCTCAAGGCAATGAAAGTATCTCTTCCCCAATTTCTCATATATCCAACCGCGAAATGAGGCAATCCCGCGGATATTGTCGTACACATTTGTTCCTTCTTTTCATTATCCACTTTTGGCTTGGGTGGTGCCAAATTTGGTGATAATTCTGGTAATTGTGCAGATTTTACCACTCCGCTAACTTGCACTGAAATCAGCGACAGTAATTTAACAAAAGTAGTCCCTTCTTGCACAAACGGCGACATTAACTCATAACAGCGGTCTAGAAGTATCATGTAGACATTTACAATCAACACATCAAAGTAACTTGGCACCAAGTACCTAGGAATAGACTTAAACGGCTCAGCAGCTTGCTCAAACCACTTACTAAGCTCCTCAGTTCCTCCGTAATTCTTCAATCTTTGCCAAATGTAATCAATCAGCCAGTTACCTTCTCTCAAATTCACACACAACGGATGACCCAGGTCATTATTAGGCCTTACTTCTGCTAAAAGCGACACTACACCCTGCAAACCGGCGTAAACAAGCGGCCCATAGGAAGGAATATTGTAAACTCCAAAGTGATCCGCGGTTTCTTCTCGCTCTTCTTGATCACAACAATACAAAACCTTGTTCATCTCCGCCAGGTTCATTCTTCCTACAATGGCCTTCAATTCTTTAATTGAAGCAATCGAATGGACTATTTCATTCAGCTTCATCAAAGCCGGATTGATGTTATCCTGCAATGACACTCGAATCGCTATCACTGATCCCGGCTGGAAGTTAACAAAATTAAGCTGGGTTATTTTCAAATCACCCGATTCAGCTTTCTCGACAATCTTTGACTCAGAAACTTGAATATGCTCTCTGATATCAACTACATAATTCTCCAACCCGTTTATGTACTCACTATCCTTGATATGTCCATCAGGATACTTAAAAGGTGTGTTTTTTCCTTCACACTGGTAAATTAATCTCGCTTCAAATATTATTTCTTTAACAACTCCTTCAACTCTCAGCGGTCTGACATACCTTCTCAAATCAGTAGCATTAAAATCCGGATGATGGAAAGCCGAAAACGCCACTAGTACAACAGTTTCATGACTCTTTGGCGAGTGTCTAGTAACTGCTACAATATCAGGGTCCATTTGGTCAACAAACACCTGAGAAAATCCCTCATTTCCCAGCTCATAGTGAAGATCATTAAACGCTTTCTTAGCAGCAATCATCCCTTTTTTACAATTAACAAATTTACCCTCTCCCCAAGGAGTGTACTCTCTATTTTCATCAACAACATGAATATGATGAGGCACAAGCTCATCATAACCCCGATTGCTTCCACTAGCACAGCAAGCCATGCTAACTAACGCAGCAGAAGGGAGCAAATCAAAAACACTTCTCTTCTCAACAGGACTCGGATTATCATGAGTCTGGTCCATAAACAGCGCATGAGCAATGCCTGGAATCAGAGGGCGGTATTTCGCTTGGAAGAATGCTCCAACAGGTTCCCCACCGTATCGATAAATCAGTCTTCCTTCTTCATGGCAGTCCCAAGCAGACATAGCTTCACGGATCAAAGAAGTTATCCCCAATCTATTCACAAAAATATTGTCCTTTTGATCTGAATTGGTGAACAGTTCTGCGACTACGTACAAATCCGGACGAATGCGCCTCGCCGCGTCAAGCATGTGCTCAGCTACGGGAATTGGCGTAGAGTGACAATTGTCCAGCCTGACTCCGTCGAAAATCCTAGCAGTTTGTTCTACGTACTCAGTCATGTGCTTCCAGAGGAAAGGACTGTCTTCAGGCTTGTCTCCGTAGCGCAATTTAACACTGTCTCCCCAAGCGATCAACTCTCGACGCAGGTAAACGTGAGAATCGCTATCAGCGAAATTTTTTAGCGGGTCGCTGTTCATCACCCAGCCATTGTGAGCCATCAGGTAACAACCTTTGTCTGAGTACATGGTAGTTTCTCGCTCCAGCAATGATTCTGGTGTTCCGTAGTCAGTGAAGTAGCGCGCAGTCAGCGGGTTCCTAGCACTGACTTCTTTCAACCTTGGACCGTCTTCTTGGACTCGGAAGTAACGAATGGAAGCAATTGTGTTCTCAATAGCTGCATTTAGGTGGTTCTGTACCTCGATTACAATTGCGTCGTGGAGAGACTGGATTTCTTTACGGAATTCCTCCGCGCAGCGTTTAAGACGTGTTTCTTCATCGAAGCAATCTTGGGGGTAAATGTTGTAGATATTTAAAGCTAATTGCATGTCTATGGAAGCTTTCAGGCGTCGGTACTGAGGATCTTGGATTATTTTGATACTTTTTTCTGAAGAAACTCCGTCCTGGGGAATCTGAGTTCTTGCTAGGTTCAGAAATTCGTTTACTATTTGATTTACGTCTACAGTAAACAGCTCGTGAATTTTTACCAATGGTAGGAAGTAAGTATGCAACGCATGACGGATTGCATTGAGATGGTCCTCGGTTTCAACGATGCTGGGGATACCTTTGTGCTCCCAATCTCCTGCAGCGACCTGGACGGTCAGTTCGAAGAGTGCAACGTCTAGGAGATAAGCCGGACGCAAGTGAGGACAGTTTGAACAGTTGTAAGTGCACTCTGGGTGAGCTACTAAATATGAACTTTCGTTGGCTGTGTGGTTGAGCACTATGTCGCAGATGGACAATACGTTGAATTGGACTCTTAGTTCCGTGGTTAGTTTTTCGATGTCCTCAAAAGTCGTCGGTTTGTCTTTTTCGTGAAAAGAAGGGTTTAGTTTTAATTGGTCGCTTAAACTGTACGCGGATTTAGACCCTCCTAACTCTTGGATTGGAGTGAAGTGGATCATGTTGTAGCCAGAGTTTTTTGAAACTGCGAGCTTGTCACGCCAGCTTGAAAATACTCCAAGACACTTTGATAAGACGGTTTGACACTGGATACAGTCTAGAGGTAAGTTTTCGTTGGTTCCTATTTGTAACTCGGGTTCTACCAGGACGTATCCGGAAGCCAGTGGTTTCAATTCGTTCTTTTCTCTGTAATTATTTAATTTTTTTTTAGGGATTAATTGATTAAGTTAATTGATAGGAACTTACTTGGCGTCAATTATGTAGTAATGAAAGGATCCAGGAACGGTGGCTTGTACAACAGCAACATCATTGCTCCAACTTAGCTGGTAGTAAGTATGTCTATTGAATTTTTTGTCACTTATTGGATGGTTGGTGAATATGTCAACGGTCCTGCCGAACAGCGATGGTCCAAGATGGAATTCTACGTACCAGCCTTTAAGTGGATAAATAATCTATATTATTAAGAGAGTAAGAAAAATTTTGTGTCCAGGATAGTTTTATGATAAAATCAATTTTTTTAGTGAAATTTAGTGTCATTGCAAAGGTCTTAATTTGAATTTGTGCCTTTTCAAGGTTTCATATCATTTTCACAGATAGTCAATTTATGATGGTAAGTATTTAAGCTGCATTCGAAAATGCTATCTATAGATACGTAATTAAGAAATGACCTTGTATCTTGAGAACTATGGACATTTTTAAAGATCTAAGCTCATCTCGATGTTACACTCGTCGAGACCTTTCATTTGAGTACCCACATGCATTTTGATATATTTTTCATATATATACATATATATAATATATATAAATATATAAAATATATGAAAAATTGATGTAGGTACTCAAATGAAAGCTTTTGATGAGTGTAACATCGGAATGAGCTTATATCTTTAAAAACGTCAATATTTAAAAAAATACAGTGCAATTTAACAAAAGTCATTATTTAATAAAGCAAAATTTCATTTATTTATAGTTCATAGGTCACGGTAGTCAGATAGTGACTGCAAGGTTGCTAGTTAAAATTAAAAGTTAATTTTTTTGATAAAAATTATTATCAATTATAAAATAAATTTAATGATTTTGATATTACCTTTTTTAACTCTGTACAATACACCATCTTGATGTTCTCCTTTATTAAGTGTCAAAACTCTAACATGTTCCCCATGTTCATGTGTTCCATTAACATTATTTTTAGGCGCCATATTATCAATTGATTTCTGTAAAAAATAAACAAACTGATAAGTAAATAATTCACAGTTTTAATGTTTATCAAGAAGAAGATGATGCTTACAAGAAGAAGAAATAAAATAAACTAGCGCAAATAAAGAGTGAGGTGAGTTAATATAAGTTAGGAAAACAATAGGATTAATATGTGTCATGCATATATGTAATAAGATCTATACAAAAAAAACTGGTGTTTTTGTTCCAGTTGGAGAGCTTTTATGAAAACCAGCTAGTTTTACTGCATAATAATAATAATAATAATAATAAATAATAAAAGTATTAAAAATTTTCATTGTACTCTTGTGATGCTACCTTTCTTGTCTCTGTCTTTCTTGTATTACTCGAATGTTAAATTGCACAGACAATACCATACGTATAAAGTTAACTTGTCATAATAAAGATCATAATTACAGGACAGTATAGACTTACATGGGACCAGATAAATTTCAGGTAACTCCATTGGAATATTTTGCGAACTAAATAAACAATCTTCTCCAAAAACATCTCAAGGAAATCCCAAACAAAGCCAATCACTTTGCCCATTGAACTTAAAAGCTGTTGTAAGTTAAAGCAATTGTTAAGTAGCTTCTATACTAATTGTAAATGTATTATTTTTTATTTATTATTGTTATTTTTATCAATTGATTATTTTTGTTATTTATTACTATTTGATATAAAAGCTTTATTGTTATATTCTTCTTTACTTAGTATCTGTTATAATTTATAATTATGATTACTGTTTGTTTCTGTTAGTGTTAATAATAGTAATCATACTTGATTAAAGTCTATCTTGGATTGACAAACAATTAAGAGGTTATTGTTATGAGGGCATTTTATAAATAAACTTTTCTTTGTTTTATCTATTTTTTTAGAAATTTTTATTGAGTTAATTTTAAAAATTTTTTTATTAATTAAAAAAATAGTGACTTTTAATGGAAAGTTTTGAAATTTTTATTTCTTCATTTAAGTTATTTTTAAAAATAATTTTCAAGTACAAAAAAAATTATTTTATCCTTTTTTACAGTAAAAATTATAAAGAAGAAATATTTTGAAAAAATAGAAAAAAATTTTACATTAATAAAACTTGTAGTAATTATTATTTTAATATTTTTTAATGAAAACTTATCAATTTTTGCTTTACAATTAACTATTAAAAAATTTATTCCATAAAAAATAATAAAAAACTCAGCTTACAAATTTTGATAAAAATAAAAAAAAAAATCCGTAATTTTTACACAGCAATAAATAAAAAAATTTTAATACAGACAAATTGAAAGACAAACAAAAAATTACAAATAAAAATATGACATTAAAGTTAGCAGTCACTTAACAATTTTTTAATTTCATTTATTAAAAATATTTGTTCCAAAAAATTAGTTTTAAAAAATTGCATTTTTTTAAATTTCTACATGTCAATTTTTTTGCCATAATTTATTTGTTACAAAAATTATTAAATATCTGCTAAATTAATTTTGATTGGAAAATTTTGAAATTTTTATTTCTTCATTTAAGTTATTTTTAAAAATAATTTTCAAGTACAAAAAAAATTATTTTATGATTTTTTACAGTAAAAATTATAAAGAAGAAATATTTTTAAAAATTAGAAAAAAATTTTATATTGATAAAACTTTTAGTAATTATTATTTTAAATATTTTTTAATGAAGACTACTTAACAATTTTTACTTTACAAAATTGACTATTTAAAAATTTATGACATAAAAAATAGTTAAAAAACTCAGCTTAGAAATTTTGATTAAAATTTAAAAAAAAATCCGTAATTTTTAAATATTAATATATAAAAAAAATTTTAATACAGAAAAATTATAAGAAAAACAAAAAATACAGAGTTCTTTAAAAAAATAAATAAATATACAAAGCATATGTTATTAATTGGTACTAAGCCAAGCTTAAAAAACTGAAAACTAATTACTTATAACTTAATTAAAATACAAAACACCAATAATCATATATTAACAAACGCAGACTAAAATGTCAAGATACAACTGGCTTACAAGTATGATTAATAACAATTACAATATATAATTATTAATCAGTAATCACCTCCACAATATACTCACATGCGTCTCGAGTGGACACTCGCTGACACTGATAGACAGTTTTTATTTTTTCTCAGCTTGTTCTTGTTATTATGATGTGTTATATTTAGAGAGTTTCTATCAGATGACCTCTAAATTTTTTGGGAATCATTACAAAGGTCATACAAATAAATAATCTCTATATATACACATACGGCAACATTGATTTAGTGGTGGGGGGGGGGGGGGCAACAAATTATATACTCATTATTTACACTGTTGGTTAAACAATCAACGCGGCAAATAATACGTATATTTAAAATCAACCAATCCTCATTTATTTATTAATTTATAAACACATATTATATATTACATGTATGTCATGTCACATATTGTATATTTTTTAAACATAACCAAATCACTAAGTTTGTCACTGATTTACATTTTCACTAGAAAAAAATAATTAATTAGTTATAAATAGAAAATTAAAAAAAAACTTTCACTTAAACTTATTGTTTAATTTAATTAATAATAATTTAAGGTAATTATTTTATTTGTTTAATATATAATTTTATTTTTCTGATTTAATTAATGTGTCATAATTTATTTGTAAAATTATTTATTTATTTATTTAGTCAAGTTTTTTATTTTTTTAAGGAAATTTAATAGATGACATGAAATAGAATAGTTACTAGTCATTCAGAGTGTCTTTGTCGTACACAGTGAACAAGATTCGACATACTCGCTTTACGTAGTTTCAAAATGGCAGCAGCTACTGACGAATTGAGTAAGTTTTCTCCATAAAATATTATTAATTATTGATCACTTTTCTCACTTGATATTTATTAACTTTTCTTTGTTGATACTAAAAACTCAAAATTCTCAAAATTGATTAACAAATCTATAATTAACTTTAATAAAAAGTGATTCCTAAACTAATTAGTGATTACTAATGGTGATAATGAGCAATGATGATTTGTAATTAAATTAACAAACTTTAAAAATAAATAACAAATGTTAATATTGTTCCAGTGCTTTTGGAGCGAGTGTTCCTGTGTCTGGGAAATGCAGATACTGATGAACAGCTCCAGGCGTCAGTGTGCAAATTTTTGCCACCGGTGTTACTCAAGTTGTCAAGTCCGCAAGAAGGTGTTAGGAAGAAGGTCATGGGTCTGCTGATTCATATTAATAGACGGGTTAAAAGCCGTCCCAAAGTTCAACTCCCAGTGGAAGCTCTGTTGCTCCAATATCAAGATCCAGCTGCCAGCTCTTTTGTCATTGTAAGATTGTTTATTATTTTTAATATTTTATTTTAATAGTAATTAATTTCTCAGTTGATTAAATTTTAATTTATTTTTTTAGAACTTTACGATAATTTATATTAAACTTGGTTATCCAAGAATGGAAATGAAAAAACAGTCGGAATTGATACCTAGTGTACTGAATGCGATTGAAGGGAAACCGTTGTCTCATCAAGACAGGTATTAATTTATTTATTATGCAAATTAAATATATGAACACTGAAAAAAAAATTTTGACTGGAGTGTAAATTTTCTTGACTCAAGAAAATATTAAGGAAGATTGAAAATTTCTTGAATGAAGTTTAAGTTTCTTGAGCCAAGAAAATTTCTTGCTTCAAAATAACATTTGTCTTCCTTAAAATTTTCTTGGCGCTAGAAATTTATTTTTTCTGCATAAATTTTCTTGGCTCAAGAAAATAGTAAGGAAGATTGAAAATTTCTTGAATGAAGTCAAAATTTCTTAAGCTAAAAAAATTTTTTTAAACCAAAAAAATTTCTTCTTGCTCCAAAATAACTTATTTTTTCCTTAAAATTTTCTTGGCGCAAGAAATTTATTCTTTTCTGTGTAAAGAAGAAAATTTGGTGAAATTTATAAAAAAATTTTAACATTACTAGCTTCTTTTATAAAAACACCTATAAATTATAAATCATTAATCATTAATTATTATTACCAACTTACTAATATATTAATTCCAGCCTATTACTAATGATAATGCCAGCCTTGGGTAATCTGGAGATACCACTATCTGCCGAAAAGCGAGCCGCCCTTCTAGGCCTGCAAGACAAGCCCTACGTAGCGAAGCAACTGATAAACTTCATGCTGGACATGCTACTATTACCATACGGCTCAGTAGGCCAGGCAGATAACCGAGACTCTGGACAGCCTATCGACTGGTCTCAGTACCCAGTGCCTCCAGGCCTCAGCGAGTACGCCTTCAAGCGCGTTATCGGCGAGAACCCTCCAGTGGCCGAGAAACTCGAGCAAGTAAAATTAGGCATCGTGAAGTTCCTCGCCGGAGGTTTCTTTCCCGAATCAGACATTTTGATCCACCTGATCGTCGCAGCAGCAGACACGCGTTTCAGCGTTGCAAATCTAGCAGACGCCGAGCTGAAAAAAATAGTTAGTACTCTAGACTGGTCGTCTATGCAGCTGGCTCTTCCTCTGTACACTTTATTCCTCGGAACCAGCGCCATCGGAACACAGAAGGACATAAAACCAGAGATGAAGCGTCACGCAGCGAATACCAGAATCCGCCTAAAGCTCTTGCAATATTTATGTCGCGTTACCAAAGCTGGATTCATAATACCCCCAAGTATCCAGGTGGTATTCGACTCTCTGTACGGCAACAACACAAACAAGAAATTAAAATCCCTAGCTTTGGATTTCACATTGAACATGGTCCAGCAGTGCAGTTTTGGGTCTCTCTCTCGCGTAGCTGGAGTCATTCTCAACGGAATGGTGAAATTAATCTCCGAAGGCGAGCCTGAGCACATCGCTATAGCTTACACAATAATTGGCCAACTGGGCCAGCGAATCCCATCTTTAGTCAACAAAGATTCAAGCCTAGTCCAGCAATTTTTCAAAGCTCTCACTTCAACAGACTCAGACATGCGTCGTACAGTCCGCGACGCTTTAATCGCAATGTCTTCAGCATTTATCCTAAACCCCAGTGACAAAAATGGAATCGCAACGATGACCGCTTTACTGTCGACTTACATCGAATCTGAAGAGTCCAGTGTCAGGTCAGTCGCTGTTCATTACGTAGCGACAATTTTTCCAGCTAACCACGCGCCTTCTAGGTATCTTTTACTCCTAGCCTGCGGTGATGATAAGAACGAAGTCTCTACAGAAGCCATAAAAGCGCTCTATGGAACTGCTCATCGCAATGAACGCTACAAATCTGACTCTAAAGAATACCAGCTGCCTAATTTCCCGGAGATGATTTTGTACGTAAATCAAAACACCCAGACTCGCATTAATTCCAACAGTAAATTTTCAGTAGGCAACCACGTACTGCCGTACAACATTACTACTTTTAATGAAATTATTAGTTATCTAAGACTGTGTTTGGCTAAGAGCGCAAAAATTCTAGCTCGGGAGCCAATTGAGAACCATCCTTGTGAACACACTCCTACGATTGCTAAATATCTCAAGGAACTTGTCGACGAGGATAAAAAATATTTGGACAATTATATTGAACTTATAACCAGCTTGTGTCATGCAACTGCTGATAAAATTCCGCTGATTGCTTTGCTGGAGGTAGTTGGTACTATTCCGAGTTCTATGACTGGTTACTTCGTTAAAGAACTACCTTGGATTCAAACACTACTCACCTCGACCAAGGCTGATGTTCGAGAGCTGGCTGCTAAGATAAACGCGATTGTCATGCAGTGTAATAGCAGCAATGAAGAGTTTGAATTGAGAGCCGGGGAATTTATGAGCTCGGCTAAGAATAAAGTTCTGGAGACTCAGCATGGCTCGTTGTTGGCTTTGTCTTACATGATGGAACGCAAGCTGACGGCTCGGAAAGATTCAGAGCAAGTGGAGAATTTGTTGAGCTGGAAGATTTACAGCGAAGTTGTACAGACGATTTGCTCTTTCTTGACGAGCAGCACTGTTCTTTTAGTGGATGCTGCTACTCAAGGAATTGGAATTATTGGGAAAGTTTTTCCGCTTCCGCTGAACTCTGAAAGTGAAGATGAGACTCTGAGTAAAAAAAAGCTGGTTGAAAATTTATTCGCTATATTGATGAATGCAAAAATGAATGGCAAGATTAAAGAAAATGCGATACAGTCTCTGGGATTTCTGTGCATTGGAGAAAGTTTTCCGTATACTAAAATTATTATTGAGAAGTTTGTTGGGTACGCGAAAGAAACTAAGGATGTTACGATTCATTTCTCGATCGCAGAAGCTCTGGTGCTTTGTGTGCAAGGACCGGCTTCTAAAGAAGCGAGGGATATTTGGACGACTGTGCCGGAAGAGCATAATCAAAGTTACTCGGCTGAGAGTGATAATTTATTGGTGTTTTTGTTGGACCAATTGTTGAAATTATCAAGCGATCCGCATCCAAATTCGAGACAGGCGATCTGTATTTGGCTGTTGTCGATTTTGAGACACAATGATAAAAGGCAGCATGTTATTGATCGATTGCCGAATTTACAGAACGCTTTTTCTAATTTCTTGGGGGAAAATAATGACATTGTACAGGATGTCGCTTCTAAGGGAATTTGCTTGGTTTATAATACGAGCGAGAAGACCGGTAGAGATGACCTGGTGGATACTTTGATGAGCCAGTTGACGGAAGGACGTCGTGCTGTTCAACAAGTTACGCCAGATACCAAATTGTTCGAGGAAGGGGAGTTGGGAAAAGCTCCCACTGGGGGAACAATCACTACTTACAAGGAAATTTGTTCCCTGGCTTCGGATTTGAATAAGCCGGATTTGATTTATAATTTTCTTCAGCTTGCTAATCATAATGCTGTATGGACCTCGAAGAAGGGCGCTGCTTTCGGGTTTTCTGCGATTGCTTCAGTGGCTAAAGATGAGCTCAATAAATACTTGCCCAGCATTATTCCAAAATTGTATCGGTATGTAATTTTTGATTAATTAAATTATCATAAGTAGCAACTTTGCAGTTACTATGTGACTGCCGTGACTTGTGAACTATGAATAAATAAAATCTTGGTTTATTAAGTAATGACTTTTGTTAAATTGCACTGTACTTTTTTATCTATTTATATTTTTAAAGATATAAGCTCATATTGATGTTACACTCATCAAGAGCTTTCATTTGAGTACCTACATGCATTTTTGATATATTTTTCATATATACATATATATAATATATATATAAATATATAAAATATATGAAAAATTGATGTGGGTACTCAAATGAAAGGTCTTGATGATTGTAATGTGGGGGTGAGCTTATATCTTTAATAATGTCAATAGTTCTCAAGATAATACAAGGTAATTTCTTAGTTATTGATATTTCTAAAGATATAAGCTCATCCCGATGTTACACTCATCAAGAGCTTTGATTTGAGTACCCACATGCATTTTTATATATTTTTCATGTATACATATATGTAATATATATATATATAAATATATAAAATATATGAAAAATTGATGTGGATACTCAAATGAAAGGTCTTGATGAGTGTAACATCGGGATAAGCTTATATATTTAAAAAAGTAAATAGTTCACGTGATAAAAGATAATTTCTTAATTATGTATCTAGAGATACAGCATTTTCGAATGCAGCCTAAACACTTATCATAAATTTTGACTATTGATGAGAATGATATAAAACCATGAAAAAGCACAACTCTAGGTCAAGACTTTTCCAACGATACCAAATTAAACCATAAAAACCCATTTTATCATATAAATACACTGTCCACAAAATTTTGCTTATTCCCTTAACAATATAGATTATTAAAAAAAATTTTTTTTAATACTTACCTTTTTTTCCAGGTATCAATTCGACCCGACACCAAAGATCCAGCAAAGCATGTCAAACATCTGGCACGACATCGTTCCCTCAACCTCAAAAGCCCTCGAGCAGTACCACAACGAAATTCTGGAGGACCTAAAAGTAAACCTCACCAACAACCAATGGCGCGTACGACTAAGCTGTTGCCTAGCTCTTTCCGACCTTTTTAAATCAAACGCCCACATAGACTACGCGAAACACGCTCCTGAATTATGGAAACAATTATTCCGCGTTATGGATGACGTTCACGAAGACACTCGTAACAACGCCACCAACACCGCTCGTTTACTCAGCAAAGTTTGCGTCCGCGAATGCGACCCCAACCACGGAAAATCCGGCGAGCGCGTTTTACAATCAGTCTTACCCATATTTCTCGAAGTTGGAATTCTCCATAACGTAAAAGCCATCCGTGCTCTGTCTCTACAAACAGTTTCTCAACTAGTATCAACAGCCGGCGTCCTGCTAAAACCTTCTCTAGTACACTTGATCCCAGCGCTGCTAACAGCCACCGACATGGAGCACGAAGGTCTCATGTACATGAGCACAAAGTACAGCGCACAGACGGAAATCCAAGAAGCTCTCGATCGGGTCAGATCCAACGAAGCTAAATCTCATCATGCAACCGAGACAGTTCGCAAGTGTACTCAGTACATAGACACAGCAATTCTTCAAGAATTAATGCCTAAAGTTATTGAATTGATAAAATCCAGCATTGGTCTAGGCTCCAAGGTGTCTATTAGTCACTTTTTAATTCTTCTGAGCTTACAAATGAAGCAAGAATTACAACCATTCGCTGGAAAACTGTGCAGCGCTTTAATGAACGGATTAACAGACCGAAATGCTACCGTAAGAAAAACCAACGCAGTTACAATTGGCCATATAATTGGTTCAGCCAAAGATTCTAGTGTAGAAAAAATATTCAACACTCTCAACACTTGGTACAACGAGCGTGAAGACGATGCAATTCGCCTGGCAATTGGTCAGACTTTACAATCAATCAGCAATCACAATCATGAAGTTTTAAAAAAATTTTCTGATATTGTAATCCCGCTGACTTTCTTCGCGATGCACGCGATAAAAGTTCCTGCTAATAAAGAAACCGTGGAGCTGTGGACGGATTTATGGGGTGAAATTTCCCACGGAACGGAGTCTACAATAAAACAAAACTTGAGCTTGATCATCGGAACGCTTAATCGGTCATTAGAGTCAGCTTCTTGGACAACCAAAGCCCAGGCTGCTAATGCAGTCTCTACAGTCGCGGTGAAAGTTGGCTCTTCGATGGATGATGAAGCCAGGAATGGATTGTTGAGGATTTTAATCGCCGGATTGCAAGGAAGAACGTGGAACGGAAAGGAGAGACTTGTTGAAGCGCTGGCGACGCTTGCTTGTCATAGCAAAGATGCTTTGGGCAAAGATGCTGCTTTGAGTGCTTCCGTTGTTGAAGCGCTGTACAAAGAGAGCAAAAAGGAGAACTTAGAATATCGTCGTTATGCTTTAAAGGCGTTTGCTGATGTGTTGCATGAGCTGGGTATTGATAAATTCACGGAGCTTTATGATATTGCGCAGGAAATTTTGGGGAAAATGGGGAAAAAGAATAAGGGGGATGATGATGATGATAATGATGATGATGATGATGAGAAGAGCGATAAGAGCAGTGAAGAAATTACTAAAAAGAGAGAAGACCAGATGAAGTTGCAAGAAACTGTTTATGAGGCTCTTGGCAAAGCCTGGCCGGGTTCTAAGGGTAGTAAAGATACTCAGGATAAATATTGCTTGCAAATTATTGCTCATTGTCATGAGACTCTACCAAGCAGCACTAGGGCTATTCAGGTCGCTATTATGACCACCTTGACGCACTTTGTGGAGAAGCTTGTGTTTTTCCAAGTCACTTATGGAGAATTGAAGAAGGAGGATAGGGAAAAACTGGACATTATTTGCGAAACTCTGTATCAGATTTTGAAAATTTCTATAGGAATTTCTAAGTACACGAGAATAAGGAAGGAGGCGCTTAATATTGTGCTGGTGTTGTCGAAAAAGTTGATAGACAGTGGGAACAATAAACAAACTGAAGCGCTTAAAAGTTTGTTCTGTCAACTATTGACCAATGAGCTGGCTTCTGACAATCAGCCGGAAATTCGTACTCGCGTTGTTGACATAAAAGCTATTTTTCAATTATAATTATATCGGTTGAATGTTATATATTTATATTAATTAATTAATTAATTAATGGCATTTGTTGCCGTAAAATCGGGTTTTTTATTGTCAATGTTTTTTAGTTGGCTTGTGACGATTATTCGAGCTGTCCGGTGTGGAATAATTGTTTTTTAGGCGGATCTTTTTTTTTATAAGGACTTTTTGATCGTGAATGAATTAAAAAATTTTTTAATTACAAATTTTAAAAGATACAAAATTACAAATTTTTTTTTTTGTTTTATTATTTTTTAAATTCAATCTTAATAAAATATAAATCAAAATTAAAAAATCATGTTAGATAAATCAAAACTTGCCTAAAATACAATTTTTCTTCCCGTTGTTTATAAGAATGTAAACAAACTTTATGAACTTAATTACCATAACGTTGTTTTGATGATTATATTTATTTACAATGAACATGTACAGCTGATCATTAATTACTTAGTTAGCAATTTAATTAATTGAGTTATACCGCCATAATTGTTAATTAATAATTAACAGATAAGACCTTATGATTTACAATAAAAAACACAAAAATCAATTTATTTTATTTTCTTTAATAAAACATCAGCACCCTTACGCTTCTTGCTCTTGATCTCCTTCACTAAATCCTTCAACTTATTCTTAAGCTCCCTCACCACCGACTCACGTTCATTTTCCAGCAATAAAATAATCAAGAAACCTTATGATTCTTGCTCTTGATCTCCTTAATTAAATCCTTAATTAAATCAATTTACTTTTCAGCAATTTTCCAATTAGTAGAATTTTTAAAAGATACAAAATTACAAATTTTTTTAATTATGTTTTATTATTTTCAGTATCGTTATTTTTTAAATTCAATCTTAATAAATATGAATAAATCAAAGTTAAAAAATCATGTTAGACAAATGAAAACTTGCCTAAAATCAAATTTTTCTTCCCGTTGTTTATAAGAATGTAAACATTCTTTTGATGATAATATTTATTTACAATGAACATGTACATCTGATCATTAATTAGTTATCAATTTAATTAATTGAGTTACCATAATTGTTAATTAATAATTAACAGATAAGACCTTATGATTTACAATAAAAAAAAACCCAAAAATCTATTTTATTTTCTTCAATAAAACATCAGCACCCTTATGCTTCTTACTCTTGATCTCCTTAACTAAATCCTTCAACTTACCCTTAAGCTCCCTCACCACCGTTTCACGTTCATTTTCCAGCAATAAAACAATCAAGAAGCAAGCTCTGTTATATTCAACCCACCGCTTGATAACATCACTGCTCATTTTCTGCACAAGCAAGTCTCCAAATGAAGTTTCTTCTCTCTCCACCCTCTCTTTATCCGCGACAATCAGCTTCTTCAGCACCAGATGAAGCGCAGGGTGTTCCACAGCCTTGATATCAGCCTCCTCGTGCTTCAGAGTAGACTCCTCATTCACCAAAAAATCAGCAATAGCATTCCAAGCGTCAACCAGCTTCTCATTTCCAGAAGCAGCCTTCAAGACCGCGTGGGTCACCAGCATAACCGGACCATCTGCCAACCAGGAATTGACATCTCCAGCAATAGACTCCAACATCGGTTCAATCACCGCTTCCAACAACTCCTTCTCTCTTATATCCGGTGATTTTTTGCTGGTTAAATTATTGTCTCCTTCACTCAGAATACTTATCAAAGCAGGATGAAAATAATGAGTGTCTCTTCGCGCTACCAAGTACAAAACAACCTTCTTTCCATGCTCGCTCGCTACTATCTCCTGCAAATGACTCAAAAATTCAGGGACAAATATCTTCTTGACCAAGACAGTGTCATCAACAGAGTCCAACATAGCAAGAAGAAATAAATATCCATACTCTGAAGTCGCAATTTCTTTGATTTGTTCTTTCATCACCTTCAACATAGCCTTCCGTTCTTTAGCAGTTGCATGCCACATACAGATCATCGCAACCTTGGCACCATCTTTAGTCGCCAACAATTCCACCACTGACTCTTTCAGAGTTCCTATCAACTCAGCGCGGTCATTAACCTCGCAAATGGTCAAATATTCTGCTAAAACAGAATGAATTAACAAACAATTTGGATTCTTGCTTAATATTTTTGTGACGTTCATTTTAACAGCAGACAAAGTTGCAGATTTCATGTCCGGAGCTTTAGCAAACACGTCTGATAAACATTTAACAGAAGAGTCCTTGGAAGTTCTGTACATATTACCGTAAAATTCTTGCTTGAAGGTGCTTCTAACCTGCTCTGAAGCCCAGCACTTTTTATTCTTGTCTTTTTTGTTCTTCTTGTACAAAATATAATCCATAATCGGCGCGGCAACTGAGTGACTCATCAGCTGGACAACGTGACCCTCGCAAGCGGCGAAAATATCGCTACGAATTTGGTCATTGCCGTATTTAAAAAATTTCTTGATGCAATTCCGCGCATACTTTGACTGGATCATGTTCAGGAATGAAGGCTTCAACTCCGCAGCGACAGTCGCCAGCATTTCAGCTGAGCTGTATTTTATGAGGATTTGAATCACCCGAGAAATATCGTGGGTGAAAACTAACTTGACGAGGTTTCCTTCGAAGAGTTTGAAGAGCTTTTGGCACAGCTCGGTACGTTCTTCTGGAGGACAGTCTTTGCGGCGCATTTGTTCGTCGATTTTTTTCCCCTCGATGGAAATGTCGTAAATATTTTCTAGTTTTTTGGACTTACGTTTTGCGCGCAATTCTTTGCGCTCTTTTTTAATCACCTTCCAGTCGGGCTTCTCAGTTGATTCCTCGGTATTGCTTTCATACTTGGGTCCTTTTTTATCAAACTTTGAAGGAGGCTTGGATGGTTTGCTGAATTTTGACTTTTTATCAGGTTTGCCTGGTGGTTTAGCAGCTCCAGATTCGGGCTCTTCTTTTATTTTATTTTCTTTCTTTTTTTTTAGCTTCGGGACGAATGCCGACGCGTCGAAAGTTTCTTTTCGTTTCATTTTTTCTGTAATTATTTATATTGTTAGTTTTAATATTATATTTAAAAAATATTTATTGTAAACTGTACTGACATCTGAAAATTTTTTATAACAAAATAAAGAAAAAATAAACTTGACATTTTTATATTATATTTATATTTAATATAAAAAAAATTTGATACTTAGTAAATCACATTTATGATACAAATAAAATTAATTGTAAAAAAAAAAAATTTGCACATGTTTTCAGAATTTTTAAAAAGGTTCGATTTAAAAAACAGGTTAAATAAAAAATTGTCAGATGTCAGATAATTTTAATATTTAATTTTAACATACCTGATAATTTTTATTAGACTTTATATTTTTAATTGTAAACACTTTGTAAGTAAATTTGTTTAAAGCAATTAGAATGCTTTTATAACCTTAAATAACTTTGAATTCAATCAAAACACGTGGAATCCATATCTGTTTTCTCTAGTAGTCACTAGTGTGGTTACAAAATGCTACCAATATCAAGAAAATTATAAAAATAAAATTCTCTAAATATATTTATATGGTAAGTTATCGACGGAAATTTAGTCAGTCGGTAAGAAACCTCAAATTTAATAAAAATTTAAAATACATATTTTATTTAATCACCAAGTTGACAGTAATAAAATTATTATAATTATAAAAGAAGTTTATGAAAATAAAGTTAGCCAACATTTCAAAATTTTTAGAATTTTTATTGAAAAAATTTCAATTAAACAATTAAAAAAAAAATTTTTACATGTAAAAAAAACTATAAGTGCAACTTTTTATAAATATCTTTTTAATTGTAATTTAATTAATAAAAAAAATTTTTTAATTATTAGACTTCTGCTAACTTAAGTGTCATAAAAGAAGTTTAATAAAACAATTCTATATGTGAAAATTAAAAAAAATTATAAGTGGAAACTATGAAAATTAATTTAGCAAATATTCAATAATTTTTGTAACAAATAAATTAAGGCAAAAAAAAATAAGGAAAAAAATTAATACGTAGAAATTTTAAAATTTGTTGGTTAGAAAAAATTAAAAAATGGTCAAGTATAAAATTTTTTTTAATTGGCAGTTATCAGCTATAGCTTTAGTATCATATTTTATAAGACTGAAGTTAGCAGATACTTAACTTTTTGATTTTTCTTTAAAAATAAACTAGGCATTGAAAATTCTTTATAAGAATTTTATTTATAATTTTTCAGAGCTTTTAAAGATGAAATTTTTAAATAAAATTTTCTTGCTATAGAAAGAATTTGTTAAAGAAATACTAAAAATCATCAGATGTCTCTCAATTTCTGTATCATCATATTTTTTACCACAAAATGAACACATAACTTTTATAAATTGTAGAAACAAAAAAATCAAGTCGAAAAATTTTTAATTATTTATAGGTAATTGGCACGTAATACAAAATTTAAACAAAAAACAGTGAAAACTTAACTTCTTAGTAAAAATTAAAAAATGTTATTCCGTTTGTTCGCATATGTCAAAAAAAGATATAAAAATCCTGGCATGACTTCTACTTTCTGTCATAAAATTTTTTTCGGATCACATTACATGGTAAAATATTTAGCCTCAAAAACTATTGACATAAAAACACAAAAGGCCCAAAGAAGAAATTTTAAACTCGAGAGCTGATATATTTTTCAATGGAAATACTTTACACCAGTTACATTTTATATAATTTACGAGTTTTTGAGCATTCTGGTCTGGTTACATTTCAACTCATATGTTCACACTCTTATATACTTGCCACAGTTATAAAAACTGAGGGCTGAGAAACTGAAAAAATAATTAACACGCTCCATACCAGGCTAAATAAAAGGACATTCTTCCAGAATAGTCAATAGTGAATAGAGTAAAAGAGTAATAGAGTAAAACATATAAAAAAATACGTCATGCTGTGAACTGCATCTACCAGAGCCGTGATAAATTTTAATAGTCGAAACAATTGATAAATTATTGATTGTTCTTAAAAATGCAAACAGAAATCGGTAAGGTAATAAAATTGATAAAGAAAGAAAAAATGATTAATAAATTATTGTATGGATTTTCAGATCTCGCATCAGTAGTGATTTAATTATTAATTCAAATGCGCTCAGATGTTTGAAGAAACAATTGAACAATCGAGCCATCGTTTTATAAAACATTATTACAGCATTGTACAGAAGTAACAATAGATCGTTATATTATTACCAACATTGCGATATTTGTTGTTAATAAATCCAACAACATTCGATCAACGATTGTTAAATAGCTCATGCTACTTATTCTTTCGTTGTTTTGGAATAAATATCAGTATATATGTACACACGTTCACTGATGTCAGTTATACGTTTTGAGTTAACTTATAAACTTTCCGGTTTCTATTTTATAAACTTCCGGAATTAAAATCATATATATTTCCGTTTTCACTCTATATGCATATATATATTTACTTGTACATATATTTTACATGTTATATGAAAATTTTCCTCTGAATATTTTATTAAAAAACATATTTTATATTACTGGATAAAATATTAAGAATTAAAGACAGTAATATAAAATTTTATTTTTTAAGATTTAATTTAAAAATTTTTTTTCTTAAATTTAATAAATTTCCGTTTGATATATATATATATACAGAAAAAAGGTTCACTTGAGCGAAAAAAAATTTTTTTTTAATAAGAAATTTCACTTATTCCAACAAAATTAATTCTCTTGCTTTAAGAAATACGTATCTTAATCGAAGAAAATTTATTTAAGTCAAGGAAATCTTGTTATTTTGAGAAAATTCAGCCTCTTGCTCCAAAAAGTTTAGTTCTTGATAGGAGTAAATTTTCTTGTCTTGAGAAAATTTTTCTCTTGCTCCAAAAAATTAAATATAAAGATAGAAGTAAATTTTCATTAATATTTTTATTGATTAACATGTCAAATATTGAATCATTTTTTTCATTCAATATGTATAATTGCACGCTAAAATAAAATAAAATGGGTATCAAATATTCAAGAAAAAAATTTTCTCAAGGTGAGAAAATTTTTTTCTCACCTGAAGTAAGTAGCACTGCTTCCCCTTCATAAAAATTAATAAAAATTAATTGTATCAAATATTTATGATAAAATTTGAATCAAGAAAAAATGACTTCTACCAAGAATAGAATTTCAAGAAAAATTTTTTACTTCTCCAACACAACTTCGGTCTTTCTTACGACACCCGAAAATTTTTTTGAGCCAAGAATTTTGTTCTCCTGTCAAGAAATTTTTCTTTCTGTGTATATGTATAAGTGAATGTATAACATAAATAAAAAATAAAGAGTGTGTCGCTTGGCTTGATGACCAAGTAGATATATGCTGATCGGTTGAAATACGAGACCAATCGTCATAGTCATGTAAAAAAAATATATATCATCTCGTTCCTTTATGAGTCATTAGGATAAGTCATAAACCGTATCAATGATTTATTTATCTTGAGCTAAATAAATTTTTCTTTTTAACTCTCTCTTGAAAATAATTCATTCATTTTTAATTTTTTTTTCAGGTTTTTATTTCAAGAACTTTAGAAGAATTTCACCGGTTAAAATCATTATTAATAACTTACAACTCATACTATGAGTGTAAGTCTCATGATTTATCTTATCCTTAAAATTGTAAGTGAAGAATGTAACAATATAATAGTAATAGTAATAGTAAAATAATAATTAGCGTAATATAAAAGTGAGGAAAATCGGTTGAGAAACCTTTATGGGGCCGGTGTAAACATTGACGTAGTGGTCGTCGCTCGGTGTTAACCAATGAAATAACGCGCAATCTAACCCGACAACGCCCAATCATGGCGACCGCAATCAATTACCATTGTTATTATCATTATTATTACTATTTATTCATCTGAAGCGGTCGCTAATTAATAAATTAACGATTGCTCATTTTCTATCCGTCAACAATTGTTTAATGGTATAATTGCAGAGAAATTTCTTTGGTATAAATTTTGTTACAATTATAAGAATAATAATAAAAATTTTAATTTGTACAAATTGAAATTTGACAATAGTGTGTCATAAAATGACGTAAGTTGCTAATTCAGCACCGTACGAATTACCTTACCATGACCTCAATTTAAATGAATTAATATTATATGATGTTTATTATCGAATACTCATTTACACTTATTATTACAATTGCACAACTATATAAAGTTTATAATATATAACATATACGGACGTATTTTCTGTGAATGCAGTGTAAGCAGTCTTACAATTACGTAATATTGATTGTCATTTTTAATTGACCTCAATGTTTTGTTACCTACATTTTAAATTAATAATTATTGTAACTTTACTTTCTTTGGAATTTTTTAAAAGTGAAATTTTAAGTAATCTTAAATAACTTTAATTGTATTTTTGAACTTTTAATTTAAGATGACAAAAATAATGAATCAATTAATATTCATTAAAGTTGTCATCCGTTTTTGATAAATAATTATTTTTCTGTAATTAAGGTAAAAGACCCAGTTATAATATTGACATTTGTAATTTTATTTTAATTAAATACAAAAAAATTGACTCTAATAAATTAATAAATATAATTTTTTAATTACATAAATTGAGATAATTGATTTTTTGGGAACATTTCATTTTTTTTATTAGAATAAAATTGCAAGTGTCAATAACTGGGTCTTCTAACTTATGTCACACTATATTTTAAAAATAAAATGAATTTTTTTTTGGGAAATTCTGACAATTATTTTTAATTTATTATTACAAGTTTTAAGAATTTTAATAATTACACTGATAAAAAATTAACTTGACTCAAGAGCCAAAATCTTGAACCAAGAATATTATTTTGAAGAAAATGATTTTTTTGAGACAAGAGAATAAATTTTTAAGTCAAGAAATTATTCTTGATTTAAATAAATTTTTTTTGTCTCAAAAATTTATTCTCTTGACTGAAAAAAATCATTTTCTTCGAAATAGTACACAGTAAAAAATTTTGCATCAAAAAATTTGGTGTTAAAAATTTTT